AGTTAGAGTAGGTGTTTCCCGTCTACCAGGTTGGGGTCCGAAAGATTCCACAACCGGTTGGTTGATGGATATGGCATCGAATCGACAGCAGTGGCGCTCTTGTCATTCTGTTATCAGGCCAGGATGCTTGAAATGGTATGTTCTCACAGGTGGATTGTGTGGTTTGTTGACCATAGTTTCACTTTGTTCCCTGCGCTCAAAGATTTATTCCCTGTCCTCCTTACATCTTACTGCTAACGTTCTATGCATTGCAAGTTTCGCGGCGATGGGTGAAGTTCGCTTCACTGTATTTCGTTGTATGGTGATAATTTGTCCCCCGGTTTCAGCTTAATAGTTCCGATGGTTCTATCCAGTTGTACTCCCTCCTTACAAATCATCTCAGAAGGAAGAAATATCATCAATATTATGGTAGCCAAGAGAAGCTAGAAACGGTGTCATCTCTCCAATTCCATGACGTTTTTATTTGGCCACGTTGTGTTGGAAGGGTCATTGTGTTCGTATGTCATTGACTTATGAACGTTCTTTTCAGGTACAAAACCTCAAGTTCTAACCGTGGAGGAGATTGAGGCACAGCTGAATTCGCCTCCTGTTCATCAGGCATCCGAAGTGCGTTCCACAACTGTGGACCGTATGCCAGTTTCAGTTCCTGAGAAGTCGACCGATGAAATTTTCAAGCAGTTCTCCCCAAGCCCTCATGTTGGATCCAACTTAGCACCAATTTTGCAGTCCCTGGCATTGAAGCAGCAGCAGCAACAACAACAAGCTGCATGTGCTCAGTCGGTTCACCTGAGGAGCGCATTAAACACAATAGGAATGCTTTCAAATCCCATGGTTCGTTTGCCTACTTCGGTGAGTTGCTTTTTATGCACCAAAACTAAGTATTTCGATGTATTCTTTTTCAGACTTTTCGCTGGCTCAGAGCTATGGTTTGTATTAGTTTGTTGGCCATTTTATTCGTTTTTCCCTACCCTTACTTCGTTCAATAACATTCAGTTCCTTTTTCTTCAGGCAAACGCTGTATCCGCAAGTGCAAGAATTAACCAAATCCAACAAGCGGATATGTCTACGAATTCAGGCATGAATGAAATCGCCCCAGGACAGCAGGGTTAGTTGTTTGTTAAATGCACGATCTCTTTGTAGCAATTCGCCACACATGGGATGGTGGGATGACCACTGGCAATCCGATGCCATCACAGCATCTATCGAACACCGACCCACTTGGACCAACCTCATCCCGTCCACTCGCTCCAAATCATAACCAGCTGGCAGATTTTGGTTCACGATCCATTTTCGGAACGTTGAACCCGACAAACCCGAGCACCACCAATGCTCCAAGACGTCCAATTGTCAAAGTGCAACAACCGACGATTTCGAATCACAGCTGTCCGTCGTTGTCACCTTTTGTCACCTCCAATAACATCAACTCATCGGGAATGTCAGGTCCAAATTTGTCAGGTAAAAAGCAAAAGATCATGGAATTCATTTCTCTATTCTTATTACGATTGGTCCATGCGTTTGCAGATAGGATGAGTCCAACACCAACCGCTGTCTGGCGTTACGTTTTACATTCAATAAGCATTATTTCCCCCATACTACCGTTGTCGTGTCTACTTCAGTTCACATCACAGTCATGAGCCGTTATGATTACTATAGTTTCTCGACTTAAAAAATAGACTGAACTTGAAATACTTAGCAATCAAGGATCCATTTTTCGAAGATAATTTTGTACAAATGCCCCAACTGATCGAATGTTGTAGTATGCTCTACCCAGTCTCGTAAGTAACAGCGATTTCTGGTGTTTATCCGATTCACATTCTTCATACCGTTGCATTGTTCTCACCACGAATTTTCTCGTAATTTCTATCCCTTTGTTCGCTTTCTATACCGAGCCTTATCCAAGTTTTGCTTCTGCGATTTTCGATCGTTCACCTAAAATCGGCAATATAGTTACAACCACGTCTTTTTCCGACTACTTTTTTACTCCTATGTCGCGCTTCGAACCATCAAACAGGTTCTCATTGCTGTCCTTGCTTGCATTTCTGTGTCAGGTACAGGGTTATTTCGGAAATATAAACTGTTTCCCGGTATCTATGATATCTTGGACTTCGGTTGTAGGCAGCTCTGTTGTTGTCGGGTTCAATACCACACTGAACCTATCGGTGCCTTATTTGGTTCACCAAGTCCCGTGGTTTAGCTTGCCGGTTTCCACCACTGAACAGCAGGTCCTCGTGACTATAGGGTTCACCTCATCTGCTGTTCATCACACAGATGTGTAATAAAAGAGTTAAATTTAACTGTATTGCAAAAAATGCATGCCTAATAATGGTGATAAACTGATTTATCACCTGCATATCAGTTATTGTTAAATGAGACTAAATTCAATGAAGGTTCTGCTGTCAGTGTTTGGGATCAGCAGTTGTTCCGTGACACGTTCCAGCACGTTTGCTGTCGAAGTATAACATTTCTAGAATTACCGGTAGACTAAATGAATGGACCTGAAGAAGCAAACCCTCAACGGTCAAAAGGCGAATGTTGTTAACGTTTCTACAAAAAGGGCTTCGTTTTTTTAGTCGTCCAGATGAACAATTAAGAAATCCATGGTGATTGGGATATTTCGGTACAATTGCAGCGTCTTTGTTTAGGTGTATGTACTAGTGGTCGTCAGACAACATAGCATAGCAAAACACATTAAGTTTCTCTACATTACTGGTCATGTAAAAGAAAGTGAATCGATAATCTGTTCATTCATTTCAGATGTGGACCGTCGCCTTCTCAACTATGCGCTCAAGCAACAGCAAATGAATTTCACTGAATTACGAGGCATTACAGACAGATTTCCAATAGGCCCAGCCTTACATTCAGCAGCACCTGGCGATGTGCGATACCCTCCTCCTGGCCTGTCTCAGAANCATCCAATTGCCAATACGAACAACAGCGCCTTCCTAGCTTCGCACGCGCGTTCCAACATCCAAAGTGACACGGCATTAGCGTTTCTCTCCCAGCTGGTGGAAAGAGATCGCATTGCCTGCCCCAGACCTAATTTCGGACCCTTTCTGACCAGCGAAATCAAAGCGAAAACCTTGGAGGAAATCGAGCACCAAGAGGTGACCAGTAGTGGCTCGTTTCTTTGAAGCATACTGTAAATTCACCCCTGCCATTACGCTCGATTTTCCATTCCTGAAGAGGACCCGCCCTGTGGCATGAAACGAGCCTAGAGTTGTTTCTGGGTACTCACCAGTTCATTTGTACATAATTCACTCATTAAGAATTCAACTATGCATTCTGTTGGTCCTACCCAACAAACTTTTCCAAATCACTTTCATAGACTTCAGAGATCTGTTATTATGACCTGGTCATTTCACCGCTGGTCCGTGGCACTTGTGCTTGGTCGCTCCGCTAAACTGAAACGGATTTTTCGGCCCTAGGTACGCTTTAGGCTGCCGTGAACTTGAGATCTATTCTGTTGGGTGTCCATATTTTGACAACCTGTTTCACATTATTTACTGGTTGCTTTAATAAATTTATGATTTTTTTGATTGTTCATTTCAATCCGCTGAAAAAACTCGACGTCATTCACCATAATCAAGGCACTTCTAGCGAGATTCATCTAGTATCGATTAACGCATATGACTATTCTAGGCAGCCATATTGAAAGCTGCTGCTGAATCACGCGAAAGGCGATAGGAAGCGTATCACTTATTCGTGTACCACGGACTCCAAGGAGAGTTTGTTCTGGCCTCTCTGTAACTAAACTCCATCGAAAGCTAGCCCCTATTGTTTGAATGACATCAAAATCTAAAGGAATATGCATGACAAGTGTCATACCTAAGGAAACGTTTTCGCCGAGGTACTTTGTGTATCAAAACTGTTACCTTAACAATCATTAGAGGATGACTGCTTTTTGCCAAGACTTGGTTTCATTCACTACCATCTCGAGTTGGCGAAGATTTATTGGGGAAGTTGACTCGACGTCTGTTCTGTTTGGAAGTTCGGTATCAGTGTGCACATTCAACAACTGGTAGGTGGTATGATGCTCTCCGTGTCTACGTGTCTCACAGTACTATTCAAAATTACTCATGATCGCAAATTCAATCATACATGAAGAGTCTCCCCAGTACAGTTGATTGTGCACCTGGTTTCCATTGGCTGTCCACCCACTGCTGGAGAAGTCACTTCAGCAAATAAACACGTGGTACTAGGGTAGGGATGATTATATATATATGCAGTGAGGTGAAGTTCACTGATCGCTGCCAAACTCGCAATCTATACGAAGTTGGTGGTACAATTTACAGTGGGCAGAGCCTGGACCTATTTTGAGGGAGGAGGCAGAACGTGAACCTCTATAGCCAACACAAACAGTGCACATACCGTATCAAGCATTCTGACCCACCGAGAACGCCACTGCTGCCGGTTCGCTGCCATATCCTTCAATGTCTCCAACCAACCAGTTGTGGAGACGATGTCATCGGCGTACTCTTAATCGCACAGCTTTTCTCCAGCTGTTCATTCAATACCTACGATTTGAAGTACCCTTA